TATAGTACTGTACACAGGACAGCTGTTACCCTTCCCTTTATAGTTATGACAAATACACTGATAACCATCCTTCTTTAAATGCAGAGGGTCAAATCCTGGACCAGAGTATTTAAAGAGCAAACGCCTGTTGATTTCAATAGGACCAGGATTTGGTCAGACCATGGTCTTTACCAGCTAGTAATATATGAGGAATGACATCTTCACTTCTTTGGACAAACCTGAAATCTAAGGGCTAAATTCTGCCTTTGAGTATGCATGTTCATCACCCCTTGCACAAATTTATGATGCAGGGTAAGGAAGCCAATGTTATAGCAGAGCAGTACCTATATACACCTCTAGCACAATATAACGCAACCTGATATAACACGAATTCGGATATAACGCGGGAAAGCAGCGCTCTAGGGGTGCGGGGCTGCATGCTCCGGCGGATCAAAGCAAGTTCGATATAACACGGTTTCACCTATAACACGGTAAGCTTTTTTGGCTCCTGAGGACAGCGTTATTTTGGGGTAGAGGTGTATATGTAATAGAATAGAGGTGAATAGTTAATAGAAAAGGTACCGGGAGATCATGCTTGAGAATAGGAAGCCTCGTTCCTGGGCTTTGTAGGAACAATACAATTTGGGATCTGCATATAGCTTCTTCTGGCTGCTTTCTCTACATCAGCTCTTAACAGTCTCCTTAGTTGATATGTGTGTGTGTGTGTGGTATATTAAATAAACTGCAACTCTGGATTATGTTTACTCTATATTTCCTGAGTCTCCCATCTTCTGGATGATTTTCCCACCTCCATCAAATTCTTCTCTTGTTCCCCCTGTTTCTTCATTACCCTCTCTTGTTTTCTTTTTTTAATCTTGATCTCTAATCTTCTCCCACTCCTGATTCATTACACTGAGTCTGATTACTTCTCCCCCCCCATCCTTTCCTGGTTTACTTCCTCTTTCTTTCCCATCATACCCCTTCCTAATTCTCTGATCCTGCCCCTGCCTTGCTGCTAGGAGTGCCGCCAGCTTTTCTGCCGCCCTAGGCGGCAGAAGGTCCTGCCCCGAAATGCCGCCCCCCACAGAGGCAGCGGAAGGTCCCACCGGCGAAATACTGCTGCGGTCGCCGCCCCCCAAATTGTAGTGCCCTAGGCGACCGCCTAGGTCGCTTAATGGGTTGCGCCGGCCCTGCTTGCTGCTCAGAAGTGCTGCTCCCATAGCACTGTCTGCCTATTAGAGACTGAAACAGGTCAATCAGATTTCCTAGGAGTGGGACAAGAAACTGTGAGTAGCTGCTTGGGGGACAGAAGAGGAGGCTGCTTTGGAGTAAGGAAGCTTCCATATAGGGTTGCCAACTGTCTAATCACACAAACCCAAATACCCTTCCCCACCAACCCTTTCTCCGAGGCCCAGCCCCCCTCCCTCCATCACTCACTCTCCCCCACCCTCACTAACTTTCACCAGGCTGGGGCAGGGGGTTAAGGTGCAGGAGGGGGTGTGGGCTCTGGTCTGGGGGGTGGGGCCGAGGGGTTCGAGTGTGTGGGAGGTGGCTTGGCTGAGCCTGGGGGAGGGGGTTGGGGTGCAGGAGGGGGTGTGGGCTCTGGGAGGGAGTTTGGGTGTGTGAGGAGGCTCTGGGCTGAGCCTGGGGTGCAGGCTTGGAGAGAGCTTGGATGCAGGAGGGGGTGAGGGGTGCAGGCTCTGGGAGGGAATTTGGGTGCAGGCTCTGGGTTGGGGCAGGGGGTTGCAGCGTAGGAGGGGGTGAGAAGGGCACCACTTACCTCAGGCGGCTCCCGAAAGCCATGGCACATCCCTCTGGCAGCGGCTCCTAGGTGGGGGAGGGGGGCAGTAGGTCTCAATGCACTGCCCCTGCTCACAGGCACCACCTCAGTGGGAGCTGCGGACTCAGTACTTGGGACACGGGCAGTATGTGGAGACCCCCTGGTCTCCCCTGCCCCCCAGGGATTTCAGGGATGTGCCATCCACTTCTGGGAGTGGCGTGGAGCCAGGGCATGCAGGGAGCCTATCTTAGCCCTGCTGCGCTACCGGACTTTTAGTGCCTAAAATCTCCTGGTTTGGCTGCAGTAGTCTCTGGGAGAAAGATCCTGATTCTGGGAGACTCCCAGTGAAACTGGGAGGGTTGGCAACCCTACTTCCATACCTTGTTGTTATAGGTCTGGTGCAATATCCATTTTGGGGTTTTCCTGCCTTGGTGATGTAAGGCTAGGTGTTGTCAACAGCACACCTTGAACAGCCTGAGGGATGAAAAGCCTTGAGGAGGAACATAGTGATCTGAAAGACTGGGTCTTTTTGCTAATTCTATCTATCCAAGATACTTTTATCATTTCACTACTACAGTATGTGAGTGCTCATATTCTTTACTGTATTTTTGCTCATAACATCCCTGTGAGGTAGAGTATTATTATCCCCATTTTATCCCCTGTTCCACAGAGTAAATCACTCTCCTTGCTTGCACACAGAAAACAGCAGCCTCAGAAGTATGGGAACTCACTGCGGCTGTCCTATTTAGTCCTGGTGGACTAGATCAGGGCTGAAAAAGAAAATTGTTCTTCCTGTTGAAAACTGTAGTGCAATATAATACTTGCCACACTTCATCATGTACCCATTTTTTAGGATGGACTTAGGTCAGTGAAAATGGTTGGCAAAAGGATGAAATGTCAGCTAAGGAGCTATAATTTACAGCTGGGATTTTCAAATGGGCCTAAACATTTGGTGCCTGAATCCAATGAAATTCAGTGAAAATTGGGTGCCTAACTCACTGGGGTGCCTCTGGAAATCCCAGCCTATGTGTCGGCTGCAGTGTGTGGAAAACTAATTGATCCATTCAAGTACAATATCAAAGTTTAGCATGCTTGAAACCCATATTTTAAGTCTGGTTTCAGTGCAAATGGCAGGAGTAATTCTAGGCAGCTTTTTGGTAGAGAATATTTCTTATATCCTAATGAAAGGGTTTATCCCTTCACTGATTGCTCTGTTGAGAAATGTAATGATTTTCTCAAGTTTTTCCAGAGTAAAAATTGATGGTATCAGAACTGCTTTTCCCATCACCCAGGATGAGTCTCTGACTGCCTGATTTCCTGCTGTTGCTATTACTGTCTTTTTTTTTTTTAAATCCCAAACCCTAATCCCCCTTCCCCCAGCAATGATCTCAGCATTCAGGATTGCTGTGATGATTTCAAAATTAAATCCCACTACTCACACGCTTGATTCTTCTCCAACTAAATTACTCAAAGAATGTATTCCTGAGACAATTCCTCTGGTGACCAAAATTGTTTTGTTCATCCTCTGGCAACGGGTATTGTGTTGCTTGCTTTGAAAATGGCTACAATTACAGGCCTTTGCTTAAAATAAATAAATAGAATAAAATCTGCACCGGTTCCAGAAGCATAGGTCTAGGTCTGATTAGCCATTTTTGTCAAACATTCTTGAACAAGAACTTGTTTTCTCAGTTGCATAGCATTTAATTACATATAATCTCTGAGGAATTTCTGAGGGCTTCATGAGTCTTCAGAGGGCCGAGACATTGTTAGTGAAGGCTTTCAATCATTGACTAATGATGGCTCACTAGAGTTGTTAGTATTAATTCCTCTGAACTTAAGTGCTACTTGGGCACAGTAAATCATGCCCTTCTGAAATGTCTTAGCAATTGTGCTGGGTTGTCTGACGCTCTGTGCCAGTAGCTTTATGCTTATTTTGCCCAAGGTCATATTGAGCTTGAATTGTGCCAGGATTATGTTAGTCTGATTCCCAATTGGGAATCAGACTGTTTTATTACGGATTCTGACTCTATCAGTGGTTAAATTGAATCTAAAACTTTTTGTGTTAATATTTGCACGATTAGCACTTTTACTTATTTATTTTTTTTGTAATGACGACAGTATCCTTATACCATCTGTGCCTTGAAGTTCCCCTGATTACAGATAGCTGTTTGGAATCTGTACACACACCATCTCACTCATTGCTTCACTGTTCACAGAATGCTAGCACTAGCAAATATATTGTAGAGAAAAATTCTTCACTGGTAGGGGATAGAGCAAATGGTCTGAAAGCTCCTTTCCCAAGGTAAACATGCCTTTATCAACCTACTTGATATCACTGAAGTGTCTAAGTATTTTACTTTTAATAGACCTGATTTTTAGGCTCAAGATGAACTACAATTTTATACTTGCAGTGAAATGCATGTACAGTTGTTCCCATTTAGATGCCTAACTCTAGTAAGAAACCCGAGTCAGATTCTGGTCTCCGTTATGCTTGTGTAAATCCAAAGCAATTCCACTGACTTGGCAGAACAACATAGTCACTAAAGTTACTCCAGATTTGCACTAGTACTAGTGTAACTGAGAACAGCTGCTTAGTCTCCCATATACTTCATTGTCTTTTAGGTTATAACAGAACCAACATAGTGGAATGGCATTGCTTTGCCATTCAAGAGGCCAAGCCAGCTTTCATTCCCAGAGTCTTTTCAATCTTGGGTTCAACAGAAGCTAGAAGAGCTGTAGTGGCAAAATACATTGCCATCTGCCACACTACTGCTGACAAAAAGAGTCCTGGCCAGTCCTCTCTATGTGATACAGAACATATATGCAAAACCCAAATAAGCAGCATTCTCTGGCCCCAGGAGTCTTATTCGAGTCTCCTGCACTGGAAGGCTGGACTGACACTAGACTGCTGAGTTGGCATGAAAAAACAATTAATTTTAATTATCCAAAGAAGATCAATGACTAGAAGATACCATAGATTATTGTCAGTCATGTTTACGTCATGTAACATCAGAAATATTTGCACAGCAAATAATATAACTGTTGGCATGCTAATTACGGAAAAAGTTAGTGTACTGTAAATCAGTACCAAAAATTTGCAGACGCTTTTACAAGTGTGCGCACACACGGCTCACTGAGACTTGCCAGACTTCCAGAAACAGGTGGGTGGCAGTTGCTGAGAACCAAATAAAGATTCTTTATCTCTGCATGTCAGATTAATAGAATAGATATAGTTGATAAGAAAGCAGCAATAGTGCACTTTGCCACATGTCATAAGTTATTTATTCCCTATGGTAGCCAGAACATTAACAATATCCTATAATGTTGGAGCTGAATGTTCCTTAATATACAGAAGCTGGTTGGCATTGAAAGATTATTATATTTTCAGCATATAATGGTATCCACTGTAAAACTGGAGTTTCTTACAAGGCTTTGGTATCTTCTTGTGTATGTCCCTCTGTAGGTTTTCTATGATGTTCATGGTGAACATGTTGTGCCTCATATTGTCCTCTTTTGGTATCTAAAATCAGTGGTTAAAATCGATCTTGATAGGTGTGGGGAGCTTGACTGATTTGGTGGCTGTTTTCACAGTCTTGACATCATGTGGTGATGTACTGTTGCATTATCTTGTAATGTAGGTATTCATCTAGAGGAGAATAGGGATGAGAGGAAAAAAGCATTCAGGTCCCAGATAGGTTTATAGGCAGACGGACAAAGTATATATGCATGCAGTGTGTGGAGCTGCATAGGGGAACAAAGCCCTAGCACTTTTAACCCCATTTTGATCAGGATTAGGAACATTCCCAGGATGCAGAATATGTATCCATGTAAAAGCAAATGAAAATGTGATGCCTGGTGGGCTTTTCTTCCCCAGAAAGCTTTGGAATCCCCCATATGATTTCTGGCATTTTTAGAAAACAAAGATATTTCAAAAGTGATTTTACACATATTCTATGGATTATGTAATATCCCCCCACCAGAGTGGGGGGCAGAGCAGGGTGTGCCTGCACCTCTCCTCCTGTAGGGAAGGGGAAACAGCCAGAGACAGCAGTAGTTCTACTTCCCCTCCCTTCCTGGGGAAAAGAGAGAGAGACTGTGGGATTGGGCAGTTCTTCCTTTAGAGGAGGTGAGTAGGAGACTCCCAAACAGGACAACTCTTTTCCCCCCTATACATTGCTGCTGCTGCGCTCCTGCCTTCTGATAGGAAAGGCAGAGACCTCCAGCAATTCCTTATCTGGACATCAACTCCTCCTACTGCTCTCACTCCCGATGCCCCTAACTGGCAGGTGGGAGTGGGGAATAGAAAGGGAGGAACTCTGAAGAACCAGAGAAGGGGATGGAATTGGGGTTTGAGGGAGAAAGTGAGAAATGAATTTAGAAGCACAAGAAGGACTATTTGACAGTATATTTTTTTTCTCTTCCTTACCAGCTTGAATCTACTTTGTTCCTCATCAGCAGGAAAATCAAAGGTTCTTTTAACACTTGACATAATAGGAAGAGACATCCCAGTTTGAGACACATGAGGGAAAGTCAGAATGGGGTGAAGAGGGGAGACATCTACTTTTCCTGTGATATCCTGTTCTTGTTATGATGCAATGGAAGCTCCTGTCATCTCCCACTCTGCACCTGTGTGTCTAGTCCTTTCTCTGTTGTTATTTCCAAGGGCTGAGTGATTCCATCTGTCTCCTAATGTGATACACAGGCAGGGATTCTCCAGGTGCACTCAGAGGCTCAGAAGATGTCTACTGGCCAAGAAGGAGATCTGCTTGAAGACCTGGATGTGGCTGATACAGGAGGGCTTGCCAAAAATTCTATTGTACAACGGTTTGTTTCTATCTTCTGGAAGAGGTCCCTGTCAAGGCTGAAATGGCCAAATAGAAAGTATATGAAATGTGTTTGTTACTGGAATACGAAGATGGCCAAACAGATGTAGAGTTGAATCCTGAACTCTGGCTACTGCTGGAGGCTGTGGATGGGGAAAAGATTTCTGAGCTACAACTAGACCTGGGGGCTTTTGTGAATGCTTCCAACTTTCACTTGACGTGGCCTCTTTGTCAGCTTGCTGAGCAAAGCTCCAGAAACTCCCTATGCTGATATAGAAAGTTGATGATGTGTAGAAACTATTTGAGCCAGATTTATTCTGATGGTCCAGCCCTGGAGGTGGAAAGTCCATTCAGGGTCCTACGTGGAGGTTGTGGAGGGTGCCTCCAATTTCTCTTTCACCAAGGAGCTTGCAGGTGCCAACACAGCCCCCTAAAATGGGTGAAACTGACCAGGGAGAAGACATGGCCAGGGCAGCTGGGGGGATATGTTGATTCAGTGTGTCCTCTAGGCAAACTCCTGTGGTAGGATCCCACAGTGGAAATGAAAGCTCTCTTCCTTTGGCAGACCCTCTCAGGAGGGCGTTGTTAGAATACTGTCTAGCCTTACCCTGTTGGTGAAAGACCCTGAGTGAAATGGCCCTTTTTGGCTCAAGGCAGTGCAGTCTGCATCTCTTGGCATCAGCAGCAGTAGATTAAGTCCCTGATTATCACCAATACATGATTTGTAGGAAGTTCCCCCTCTCCCGTGACAGAACTCCAAGGTGTTTCAGGTCTGGGTGACCTTTGGACCTTAGTGGCAGAATTTTCAAAAGTGCTGAGCACCCAGCAGCTCCCATTGATTTCTCTAGTTCCATATCTATTATTCCTCTCATCACAACACTTCCCAGTTCAGTAGTATCTACCAATTTCATTTATGTGTTGTTTACCCCCATACTCTTCCCTGTGTTCTCCCTACTAAGGCCATGTCTATATACAGTTTTTGGATAAGTAGGTCAGTTAGGGCGTTATTTATTTATTAGTTCACTGAAATAATTATACTGGTACACAGCCTAGTGTGGAGACAGTTATGTGGTAATAAACGATTCTACTATAAAGTAGGGTTACCGTATTTCAACACTGAAAAAAGAGGACACTCCACGGGGCCCCTGGCTCCTCTCTCGCCCCAATTCCGCCCCCATTCTAACCCCTTCTCCAAAGTCCCCACCCCAACTCCGCCCCCTCCCCTGAGCACCCTG